ATGAAAAAGGAGTAACTAAAATTGGATGCACTTGACATCTAATCTAGTCTTTCGGGATCAGAGAATCATTAAGAAATTTTCCTTTGTCCAGTCCAGTGTCCACAGGGAAATCATGGGCTCAGAGCTTGGAGCAGGAGAGTGAGGTGTGGCTAATGAGACCGCGTGGAGGGCGGTAAATATCCTGTCTCCCTCGGTCCCTCAGACTGTCCAACCCGGGACCGGAGAGGACATGATTCCTGTCTGTGGAGCCCGACCTCTGCCCAGGGACCAGCCCTTGGCGCCCTCCTGAGATCCTGTCTGTGACACAGCCCAGATCCATCTTCAAGCGTCCAGGAGGGACTCAGACGCTACATGGAGAAGCCCCCCTCACAGCCCCCACCCAGGTGAGTCTCAGAGCCCAGCAGGCACTTGGGACAGATCCAGGGAAAATGCAAACTGAGAAGTTCTGCCTCAGGTCACAGAGACCAAACCAGGCCCAGGGACAAGAGGTTCCCATATCAATTTATAATTAATTTGATTAATTTGTGACCCAAAACTGTCCACTGCACTCAACAATAAAAGGGGCGGGGAGAGGAAGGACTAGAGTCAAAATAAGGGGGGGGGTGCAATTGTACGGGGAATATAACCAAAAGAAAATGCATACATTGTGCAAAGATGAAAAATGATGAAAGAATTATAAAAAATAAAATATTTTAAAAACACATACAGAGACAGAGATGGTGCTGACAGTGAAGAGACAGGAATGAAAATCTGTTTGGATGAGACTGAAGGGGGAGTGAGAGGCTTAACGTGGTTCCAGCAAAATTAGGACACAGCCAAGTAGGTTTGACATTAAGGCAGCAGGAAAATAGAGCATTAAATGCGATGGGGTCGGCACTGAAGTGAGGAGCTCATTTTTAGGAGGGGGTGTATGAGCAGGTGAGCTGTATTAGAAAGATCCAGAGCAGCTGAGGAGAGGAACAGTGTGTCGTGTTCCCTCATAGCAGGTGCTCACAGAAGTCATCCTTTTTCTTTAATGTCAGTTGGGGGAGACTAAAGAGCTTTACTCTGCAACCACTCTATTCCTGGCAAGTCTGCATAGTTTTCCTTGTTAGGTTTTTGGTTTTTTCAATTATAAATTGCACTCATTCCTACAATTTATTTACTTAGGGCCTGCATTTTTATTCTGGTTTGTGATTCATATATTCAAACAGAATTGGAGTTTTTCAAAATAAGTGTTTTGCACTTAATTCTCCCACATATACATAGGCTTTTGGGCAAAATGTTTAAAAGCTTTCCATTTTGCGGGGCTCAGTTGATCTACTGTGTCCCACTATGTATTGAAACATCGGCTGTTTCTTGCATTCTTAGTGGTAATAATATATTACACACATTGTGTTCACGTCACATCTGCTTTCCCTCATTCCTCTGCCTCCTCACTTTTGTGATTTGATTTGATGTATTTTCATTGAGATTTAATTGGCATGAAACATGTTGATTTGTGAAAGTTGGAGAAAAACATGTTGATTTCATATATTTATATATTGTAATATGATGACCCCTGGAGCACTAGCTGACACTTCCAACCATACACACAATTAATATTTATTTTTGTCACAAAATTATTAAGAAATAATCTCCCGATAACTTTGAATGTTGTAAGAAAATACTGTTGACTCTGTCACAATGTGATAGATTCCAGAACCTTATTCACCCACCAGTTTCAGGTTTGTGTCCTGAAGTAACCTCTTCCAAATTCCCCACCCTGGTCCATGGAAGCTATTTAAGTCTGTTTTAGGGCACACACAGAAGTCATGTCCAGCGTCTGTAGTTTCTCTCTTCTGTCACGTGGCACAACGTTCTTAGGTGCTCAGGTTGTCACAAAGGGCAGGGTGTCCTTCCTTCTCTTGACTGGATATTATTTGATATTTTACTATATAGAATGTGTATTATAACAACACAATATCCTGTGCGTGAATTACATATGTTTTACATAATCCATGTATATTCACTGGGTCAGTGAAGAGCAATTGTGTACATGTATTGTGAATACATATTTTATATCTGTATGTTTGCCCCTTATTTTCTTAATGTGTCCACTGATAGATTCATAGGTTATTTCTATTTTGGCTCAAAAGCAAGGGGGTGCGGATAGCTTTTCAATGTCCTGATTTCATTGCCTTGGTACATGTATGAAGAGAGCACGTGGGAGTCTAACTTTGCTATTTTGAGGCGCCTCTGTTGTCTCACCCACCCTGGATGAAGCAATGTATTGGCCCACCGACAGCACCCGAAGGTTCTCTGCGCCCCACCCCAGTGCTGATCTCCCAGGGAGCTCTGTCAGCAGCTGTGAGGTGAGGCTCCTGGTTCGGATTTGCATTTCCTTGGTGAGTGATCCTGAGCACCCCATCATGTGCTTGCTGAGCATCTAGTTGTCTCCTCTGGAAAACACATATTTAGGTGCTCTCTGGTATTTGCATAGGCAATGACTTCCTTGTGACATGAAAAAGCAGGAAGCCACAGGTGGTGCTACATAAACTGAAAAGCTTCTGCATACAAGAGAGACAAAGGGACACTGGGCAGCCAATTTGTTACTAAAAACAGCCCCCACCTTCCCATCTCCTGGATCACACTCTTCTGTATTCAAATGACAAATAATATTTTCCTCAAGCATATTGGAATCCATTTTTGTTTATCTAGAGAGAAATGATAGCTTTAGATCTGCATTTTTCAGTGCTTTGGAATAAGTGTCATTCCTGTTTTTCATTTTCAACTCTGCCATGTTACGTTTTAGAGAACCAGTGGATGTGACGAAGTTCTTGTTATATCTTCTCTTCACAAAGTCTTAGATTTGTGCTCCATTGTGCTTAATGCATTCATGCTGATCCCACTACATTTAACCAGGCTATATATTTTTTGCTGTTCCATTTATTTTATGAACTAAAATTCCTTGACATAGTTTGTATATTAATATCACAAAAGTGGGCAAACTAGCTGGTGTACCAGCTCATGTGGATGTTACGTTATGACAGAGAGGGTTGAGTACAAGGAAACCGCGCATGTGGGATATGATGGTCTCAGGAATAAACAACACGGAGGAAAGGGACAGACTGTTGGGGCACAAGCAGGATTTTATGGAATATTGTCTGGGGAGGACACTGCTTGTTGGATGAGGAGCAAAACAAGGAACAGTTTATCTGTGTCAAAGAGAGATCAAAACCTAAAGCCCAAGGAAAGCAAATGAAGTGATTCCACAAAAACGAAAAACCAGATGAGGGACAATCTCAGACGCTACTGCATCATAACAGTGTGTGGTCACATAAGTGGGAACAGGTACAAAAACAACACTCAGATCAGGATCCCACTGTCAACCCCACCACAGGCGAGTGGAGTGACAGCGTGTCCGTCGGCCTGGGGGCCCTGGTGTCCAAGGTAACTGTTCTCCACCCGGCCTGGCTCTTCAGTTGGGGCCTCACTCACAGGGTCTCTCCTCATTAGCAAGAACTGACTTTTAAATACTTCTCTCCTGTATGCAATGATGCCAGATTCTTCTTACTGTGGCCTAAAGTCAGACCTGTCTTTACTCTGTGATGTAGCCTACCTACGCGCACAAACATACAAAAACGACACACACACATGCACATGTACACATGTACACACGTACACACAACTGATGGAAGAGAACTGTAAATCACTGTCCTGATGTGTTCAGACAATGCACTCAGACATTTTCCTACGGCCTTTACTTGTTCTATTCTACTTCATTCATGTAAACTCAGTCTCACCCCCTAATGGATGTATCTCAGGATATGAAATTCCTCTTGGGTGTTCTCCACAACTATTTTAGCATTTCCCTGTCTTTCTTTCTCAGCTTGTCATTATTTTTTGACATGTGGGTCAGCTCCCTGGCTGGGGATCGAATTCAGGCTGTCCTGATGGTAGCACTGAGTCTGGACCTCTAGGCCACCCGGGAGGCCCTAGGACGAGGATTTTTCAGAGTCAGTCTCATTGCTTTTTCTCCATGATTCCAACAATACTTGTATAATTGGTTAAATGTATTTAAAGAAAATCATACAATATATTAAAAGAAAATTTTGACTTGGAAAAATGTTTGCATTATAGGTAAGAATGGGAAATTATTTTCAGCATCAAGAGTTGATGGGTCATGAACAGCCTTGAAAATTTCAGGTAAAAGGCACTAGGTCTATAACATCAAATTCATTAACTGAATGTATTTAAAATAAAATCACCCCATTTAAACTCTTTCTTGATGGCTCTGCTGTGGTTAAGTTGACATCACTTCTGTCCCCATCCCCCAGGCTCACCAGCGACCTGGCGCCAGGAAACCAAACCCACCCCACAGCGTTCACCCTCCTGGGGCTCTCAGAAGAGGCCTCGCTGCAGCCCCTCCTCTTCGGGGCATTCTTGGCCATGTACTTGGTCACGGTCACTGGCAATCTCCTCATCATCCTGGCCATCGTCACGGACCCCCACCTGCACACCCCCATGTACTTCTTCCTCGCCAACCTGTCCTTTGCCGACATCTGCTTCACCTCCACCACCGTCCCCAAGATGCTGCTGAACATCCAGACACAGAACAAAGCCATAACCTACGCGGGCTGCCTCAGCCAGGTGTTTTTCTTCTTACTTTTGCAGGAGTGGACACTTCCTCTTGACAGCCATGGCCTATGACCGGTTTGTGGCCATCTGCCATCCCCTGCACTACATGGTCATTATGAACCCCCAGTTCTGCGGCCTCCTGCTTCTTGCATCCTGGGTGTTAAGTCTTCTGCATTCTCTGTTACACAGCTTAATGGTTTTGAGACTGTCCTTTTGCTCACAGCTGCAAATGCCTCACTTCTTCTGTGAACTGGACCAGGTGATCCAGCTTGCCTGTTCTGACACCTTCCTCAATGAGCTGGTGATATATTTGGCAGTGGGGATTCTGGGGGCCATTCCTCTCAGCGGCATCATTTTCTCTTACTCTAAGATTGTATCCTCTGTTTTGAAAATCTCCTCAGCGAGCGGCAGGCACAAAGCCTTCTCCACCTGCGGGTCTCACCTCTCCGTGGTCTCCCTGTTCTACGGGACAGCATTTGGCGTGTACCTCAGCTCTGCTGCTACCCACGACTCCAGGGACAGTGCAACAGCCTCGGTGATGTACACAGTGGTCACCCCCATGCTGAACCCCTTCATCTACAGTCTCAGAAACAGGGACATAAAGCAGGCCCTGGTGAGGATCTTCAGCTGCAGAGCAACTCCAACGTGATGGGGGCCGCTTCCTCAGATCGTCTGGTCGGGGGCAGCAGGGCTCACAGTCCACAGATTAAGTCATGATCCTGTCCTCAGTCAGTCAGAGATAATCTGTGGTTTGTCTTAGGAGCAGAGTTTGATATCACTCTTTTATACATTATTAATATGTTTTCTGTATTTCCTTAATTATTTTTAACTGTTCTGTATAATGAGTTCCATATTAAGAGAAGCATGGTGTGCCTGAATTTTTCTTTAATAAAATGTTTCAATCAAGAAATTGGGCATTTACAAAATAATAAAAAGAAATGAAGGAAAAAATATGTACAACCGTGTCAGGTAAAAGCAAACAATTACAGTATATCTGAGGGAAAATCTAGTCAAAACAAAGTATCCATTAGTGTCATCCCTGACTCTGTCTTTACTTCCTTCAGTTGGGTTCTTTGTTGCTGACCCATAATACTCCAGAACTCTTGTTTAGCTTCTATGGTCAGACATGCAGACCTTACAGTGAGAAACTCCTTTGACTTCTCTACCTGGGGAAGCTTTTATTCACATTCATATTTGAATAATCTGCAGGGTGGAGTGTTCTTGGATTTAGGAGTGTCCTTGTGTTTAGGATTATGAGCACTTCCTTCCTCTCCTGTCCTGGAGGGTGACTGCGGAAAAATCTGAGGAAAACCTAATTTAGATGCATTTGCAATTCACTCTTCTTCAGGTCTTCTATAAATTCTTCTCCTTTTTCTGACTTTTTATAATTCACAGTGGGATGTCACGGTGAAGGTCATTTTCACTTTGAAATTTGGGTGTTATCACTACATCCTGGACATTCATGCTTCTTTCATTCTTTAGGTTTGGAAAATTCTCAGCAATGATGTTTTTGAAGAGTGTCCCTCCTCCCTTCTCCTTCATCTTCTGGGTTATCCACTATCCCTATGTTTCCACTTCCAGTTGAGTCTAACATTTTCTGTAGTGTTTCCTTCTTTCCCGTGTCTGTCTTATTTCTCTCTGTTTCCTAATTATGTGATTTATACATTTGGATCCTCAAGCTCTGAAGTTATTTTGTTTGCCATTTTAGTTCTACCTAAAACACTTTCTATATTTGTGTTCATTTGCATTCAGAGACTCTTTTGTGTTCTCTTAATCTTGTCATCTCTTTGGTGAAGACTCTCTGGTTCTTTATCTTCTCTCTAAGGTCTCGCAGCTGCCTGTCTGCCCTGAGTCACCTCCCATAACTCACGGTGTATTTAATATTGTTGCTTCAAGTCACTGAGACTCCTCTGCTTCTCTCCCCTGTATATGAGTCAGAATTTCTGTTCTGATGCTTTTTTTCCTTCTCGTGCTCAGATGTTCCTTGATTTCTAATTATTTATGTCACCTCATTGCCAGGTTTATAGTGGGTCAGAGTTGACTGCTTCTCTTCTAGTTTACCTTGGCGTGAGGTGGGCAGCGGGAACTCTGGGACTTAAGTATTATCTTAGTTTGTTGAGAAGTGAACTCTGTCACCTCCACCTCCTCCCTCCTCCCTCCACAGAAGCTCCAATTGGTCTTCAATTGTCCTCATCTCCCTCCCCACCTCCTTCAGGTTGTTCCTGCCACTGATCAAGTCTCCTGGTGACTGGAGCTGGGTCTAGTCCACAGGGTTCCATCTCTGGACTCAGCTGGCCTGGATATGAAGGCGGCACCTGATGGGCCGCGTGCCCATTGCACCGCTGTGGCCACAGGCAATGACCACCACAGCCACCTGCCCTGCTGTCCACTGAGGGACCCGGGTTGCTAATGCTGCAAGTCTGCTTGATACATTGCAAAGTAGTGCTGTGTTCTCTGTCCCACCGTCCTTTCCCTGCTCTGGGATCCATTACGAAGCCATCTGGTCACTGGTCACTGAGCTCACCGTGTCCCGCCAGAAGTGGAAAACACTTATTTATGTAGTGTTGGTGGATGTAAAATTGTGCATCTATTATGGAAAGCAATATGTAAAATAACTAATATAAGTTCCCTATTGATCCAATTGTCTCACTTCTGAGTATTTTAGCTGGAAAATACACACAAAAAC